CTCCATTCTGCAATTTTATTATGTGCTTGTTTGAGGGTTAAGGATTGTGTTTTTTTTTTTTAAATAAAGGAATAAAAGGGACTTTTTTAGTCCGGAATCAGACATGTCTAGACCAGAATCGGACGGTTCTGGTGCAGGGGAGAGATTTATAGACCATTCTATTGGGCTAACTGTAAACAAAGCCCTTTCGGCCATTTTATTGGCTCATCAAGAAAATGACCTCTTGTCATTGCGCCATTTTACTGGCACATCATAGAAGGCCTAATCCAACCCAGCACGATCCTTTTCCCCCTCCTTTAACGAAAAAATACGTAAAAGAGGAATAATTACTTTCTTTGAAAAAAAAAAAAAAAAAAAAAAAAAAGAGAAAAGGGGAGAAAAGAAAGTGGAGAGAAATGGTTTTAAGTTGTCTCAGAGATTACTCGAGTTAGTTTAGTAGTACGTACTTGATAAGACTATTTCGACAAATTTTAATCTTGAGTTTTAAAAAAATTTCAATTAGTTTTGAATTAAAAAATTAACTTAACTAAATTCAATTTTTTTTTAAAAAAAAGAATTTTTTTTGAAAAGGTTAAAACTCCATGGTAAATACTATTTAAAGAGCTACTCTTGTCCTTTTTTTCCTTTTTTGGTAAATCTTTTTCATTTCTATGTTTTTTAATTTTTTGATAATTATAAAATTAAGACTACATAAATCCCTCTAAAATGCCCAATTAAAGCACTTAAAACTCAAACTCAAGTACATGCCACAGCTCAAATAGTAAGAAAAGTTTAAGGGCTTTCAACGCCAGTTAAAAATTACAAGTCTAACTAAGCTTATTCTTGCTTTTTCTTTGTTGAAACATGTTAGAAAAACATAGAAGGCAACATAAGAATAAGTTTTGAAACATGATTTCACTTTTCTTAAGGATTAAAAATCCCCTAAAATACAATAGAACTTAAAGACTCTTTTAAGATTAAATGTAGAGCATAAACTTTTGTTAGGGAACTTATACTGGATGAATAGATATCTGTTGAAGGGATATATTTCTTCAAAAAGACACCAACCAAAGTGTAAGGACAGGGCCGAGGTGGCAAACCTCGGACTGCTACAGTAGTTCCTTTATGACCGAAGTGGGGAATGAATCCGAAACTTCCCGCTCAAATAGCTGCATGATAACGACAATAAACATGTCCACACCTGATCCCTTATGATGAGCGGCACAGTAGGAACGGTGGACACCCGTGCATCTGAATACCTCTTAAATTCCCGGTCTCGGAATAATCGTCTGGATGAACACGTCAGGCTCCGACTATCTTGCTTGGCATGCCACGTGGGTTCCTCATTGGATCCTATAAATACCCCCTCCGG